ATTGAGGTGTGTGTGTGTGTGTGTGTGTGTGCAGGCGTGTGTGTGTGTGTGTGTGTGTGTGTGTGTGTGCGCGTGCGTACGCGCGCGCAGGTGTGTGTATGGAGGCCAGAAGTCAGGAGCCTCACCCTAGGGTTCTCCACTGCAGTGTTGGGGACAGAGTCCCTCACTCCCCGGTCAGCTAGACTTGCCGGCCACCAAGCCCCAAGGATGCCCCTGTCTCTGCCCCAGGCCCAGCTTTTTACAGGGTTGCCCGGGATTCGAACTCAGGGCCCTCACACCCGAACAGCAAGCAGTGCGCCTACCCAGCCATCTTCTTGGTCCCTGCGGGGTCTGACTTCTGGAGTTTCCTCCTCAGGGATGAGTCTCCCTGTGGTAATGAACTCAGCAGATGTGGAGGCACCCCAACCCCACAGGACTCCAGAGCCTGTGCAGCCGGCAGCCTCCCCCTCTGTGACAGGATGCCTGAGGCCAGCAGCTTAGAAAGAAGGAAGGGGCTGAGGAAACAGCCCTGCGGGGGACGCGCCCGGGGAAGGGGGACTTCCGGGGCATTGACCGACCATCTGAAGCAGATTGGCCCTGAGAGCTGACTCAGCAGGTAAAAGGCCCCGTAGCGAAGCCTGCAGACCTGGGTTCTATCCCCAGGCTCCACCTTGTAGGAGAGAGCTGACTCACCCGTTTGTCCTCTGACCTCCACACAAATGCACCCACACCCAGGGCGATAAAATGCACCCCCTCACCAGACACCACACCCACCTCATTCACAGTGGATGCCTCCTGCTTCCTCGCTTTCTTGGGTCAGAAATCGCTGGAAACACCGTTGCTGGGTACAGTGGCACACACCTGTCATCCCAGTATAAGAGGTGCAGGCCAGAGGGTGGAGAGTTCAAGGTTACCCTTAGCAGCTTGAAGACTTGGGTCCAGCCTGGGCTACATGAGTCCTTGTCCTGAAGCAAGGAAAAAATAAAGAGCACTGGCAGTTTGAGCACTTGTAGGAGGCGTACCAGGTCCTGTCAGACCTGTCATCTTCTTGTCATGGGACCGTCAAACTCAACTACAAAGGGCAGAACTGGACGCAGAGGCACCAGCCTGGCTGGAGTCGGTCCTTGGGCACTGAGCCTCTGGGACACTCTGGTGCCCGATTCATGGCGACTGGAGGCTGCAGGCGGTCTCTAGCGCCCTCTGCAGGTGGTTTATACCCCAGACCCTGGCTCCAGTTTATTTCCTATGTTTAAATATTTAAAATTTTACCTTGTAGATGGCCCAGCAGAGAGTTTTTGAGACCACTTTTTCTGTTGTGTCTCTCAATTTTCAGTCTGCCACAAACGTCCACATTGTCCCTTGATACTCAAAGAAATGTGAGCGAGCTGGAGTACAGCCCAGTAGCCCACCCTTAGAGACATGCCCCAGCTGGGTGTGGTGGTGCACACCTTTAATCCCAGCACTCAGGAGGCAGAGGCAGGTGGATCTCTGTGAGTGTGAGTCCAGCCTGGGCTACACAGAGAAACTCTGTCTCAAAAGTAAAAATTAAATAAAAGGAGGAGGAGGAGGAGAAAAAGAAACCTGCTCCAGATTAACCCCGATGCCAACCCCACCTGGCATGGGCTCCGGGCAGTTGGCTTTGCAGGAACAGAAATCCAGCCACAGTGGCTCATGCCTGTCGCCTAGCAGACTACTGCCTCAGCCACCCAAGTACTGGGGTCACAGAGATCTGTAACAAGTATGGCTTCAGTTAGAGTTTTATTTTTTCTGAGCCGGGGTCTCATGTAGCCCAGGCTGGCCTCCAAATCACTATGTAGCAGAGGGTGAACTGGTCCTCCTCCTCCTCCTCCTCCTCCCTGAGTGCCAGGATGACAGATGGGGCCACATTCAGCTTTTGGGGTACTGGGGATGGACGCAGTTTCATGACTGCTCCACACTGCTCTTAACAACTGAGCCCGTTGTCCAGGGTTTGTTTGTTTGTTTTTTGTTTTTTTCAAGACAGGGTTTCTCTGTGTAGTTTTGGTGCCTGTCCTGGAACTCACTCTGTAGACCAGGCTGGCCTCGAACTCACAGAGATCCGCCTGCCTCTGCCTCCCAAATGCTGGGATTAAAGGTGTGTGCTGCCACCGCATGGCTGGTTTTTGTTTGTTTTGTTTTGTTTTGTTTCTTTTCTTGAGACGATGTCTTGCTATGTAACCCAGACTGGCTTCGACTCGTTACCCCCCTGCCTGAGCCCTCCAAGTACAGAGATGACAGGTCTGCACCTCTGTCCCTGGCTTGGCCTACTTACAAGTCACCTGGTCTCTGGGAGCTTTGTTTTCATTTGCTTGAGGCGTAGTCTCAGGTAGCCCAGGCTGACCTGGATTTGTTATGTAGTGGAGAATGACCCTGAATTCTAGATCCTCCTGCCTCCACCTCCTGAATGCTGGGATGACAGGTGTGGGCCACTGTGGTAGGACCGGCCCATAAGTCCAGGAAACTGGCTCAAACCAGTTGCCAAGGCATGCACATAATGTACTTCTTATGAGCCAACCTGGAGTCTGCCTGAGGGCCAAGCAACAGGTGCTGTCAGAGTTCCTGATCATGCTCAGAGTTCCTGATCACTGTCAGAGTTCCTGATCATGCAGAACCTGCCTAAGGGCCTAGCAACAGTCACTGTCAGAGTTCCTGATCATGCTCAGAGTTCCTCATCACTGTCAGAGTTCCTCATCACTGTCAGAGTTCCT